GACGGTAGATTCACTCAGAAACAAAGGGAAATTAATTCGTTGCCGATAGCACCAGCTGATAGCAGTAACATACAGAGTCTGATTAAAAAAATTCATGGCAATTGAAGATTTTTTACCACTGTACAATGGAGTCCAAAAAGAGCACTTGGCACAAATGTAAAACTGCCCAGTGCAAGGCCAAGAATTCAATCCGTATTTTCAATCATATTATCAGATTCTACATAAATTGACTGACCATATCACTACTCAGTATTTAACTAATCTCTTAATCCAAAATTCCTATCATCATTAAATAATTATGCAAAATTCTTCTTTCAGATTGCTATCTATTTAAATTTTTAATGCTGCAACTGTTCCAAAATAATCTTGTAGTGAAGGAAAAATGCAAATAAGAAGTGGAAGACCAATTTTACCCACAGTGTTCAATTATTTGAATATAAAAAGAATAAGATCACGATTTAACAAATTAAAATAATCTTTCATGAAATCTTTCATGAATAACATATTAAACAAAAATGAAAGTTATAAATCAGTGGTAGGCCTAATGGCTTATTCTGGAATATATGACCTCTGTACATCATCAGTACCTGACTTGGTACAGTATAGTTACTACTTGGATACAGAGTTAGATTTAATAATGTAACAATAAGAACAATATATATTATAATAATAAACTTCCCGCACTTATCAGACGCTTGTTACCATGAACTAACACTACTTGACAATGGGCTGAGTACTTATCACAGAGTCTGTGTGCGATGCCATTCTTGTGCTGTGATTGGTTAGTTGAGTCACGTGAAGCCCTACTGTTGCGCCCTCGCGTATCGCGTAAATGCTGCACATTTCTGGTCATGATATTTTATATAATATTGCCCCTCGACCCTCTCTCCTCTGCATTATATATGACCATTTTGACAAATAACGTGTGCCAGGCGCCCGTAGAAAGAAAGAACCGAGTGTTAATCTAAGGCTGCATTCCCACAGATCTGTATCGACCTAACTCTCTGGGGGTTCACGCTAAATTGCTGTCAGCCGAGCGCACAAGGTAGTTAATTACCCCCTTACAGCTTTAAGTAGGCGGGACAGACATTTAAGCCGGCTAAGCTAACAGTAATCTAGTGAGACTCCCCACGGGGATAGATTGATCTTAAAGCAGTGGGAATGCAGTCTAATATACAGGGTGCAAACGTTTACTTGGTGAAGAATACTGCATGATGTTGATTCAAGGAATAGATAGAGCGGTACGTTTATGTTGCAAAAGGAAATAACTAAGGAATAAATAAATAATGGAAATACTGGGAAATTTTTCGAGGTATATCCTATCCAAATTTTTTGACAAATTTATATTGTACAAACCCGTTATATAGTTCCAAGTTTTCTATTTTTCACTAAATTTCACTCGCAACGGTAACCAGTACCTCCAATTACTGATTAAAGTGGAATTGTCGAAACGCCCAGGATAATATTCTGTGATTAATTTAGCTCCATAGAGCATCGAGGGCAGTTTTAATTTTAAAAAATGATATCCACAACAGGAGATAAATTTTGTGGAAAGTTGGCGCTCCCTCCGCCAACTCTTTCCTCGAAATGTTGTAAAAGGAGCTGCGAGCATGCAAGAGATAAGATGAATTCAACATGAGTTGTTCATTTCTAGATCCTGGACGTGTAGGTTGTTGAATGTATCCAACTTATCTTTTTCATCGACACCCTGCGTTTCAGAGACAGCTAGAAACTAACCTATCCTACCAATTAGCTATTACAGTTGTACAAGTTTATTTTTCTGTGATCAGGAATGTTTTGACATTTTGTGAGAAGTATATATCTACTGTAGCATTTTTATCAGTATATGTATGTGTACATTGTCGGTGAATTGTGGATGTTATTTGAATCCTGGTCCTCATTCGTTTGTATTTTAGGATTTTCAGGCGCTTTTAACGAAACGACACGGGCATGTTGGTTAATATCTCAGAAGGTTAGGGTGCTTTACTACTACCTTCTCGCAGATCGATTTTCACTAGACTGATATTTCTGTAGCTAAATTCAAGGTATGATTCTCTGCTATGGAGAAAAATGCACATGATTAATGTATAGCCCTTACACTCACTTGCGGCTATGGTAGGTTGTGGATCGGTGAAAGGGTAACTATTTTTGAGCCCAATTTGGACTCAGTCCGAGTGTGGACTGTCCTGCAGCCGGCTTGTCAGATTGTATTTTTAAAACTGAGATCTGGAAAATTCCAATAATTAGGCAAAGATCTGCAGTAGTTTGCAAGTAAACATGGGATACCATTTACATGCTGAAAATAACACTTAATGTATAATATAACGTTACTCTTGTGTATTTATTTTCCTTTAAATATCCGTTCATGCGCCCGACGTTCAATAGGGAGTCAAAAACATATCACCTGATAAATTAACTATGGTAGAAATGAAATAAAATTACATACCCCAATCTTTATTTCATTGTCGCGCTGTTATAAACATGCTTTCATTTCAGAGAAGACTGAAGATACAAAACAAATAGTTCCACATGCACTGACTCGCACTCTGTACCACAATACAGGTACATAAGTTTATATCCATACGCAGACTCATAGCATGTGGAATATTGCAGACTGGATTTCATATTCGATTTTGACCTAGACATGTTGCACTATGTGTTACACATTTAGCACCCTGAGTATGGGAGTTTACTTGAAAGTAATCCTAAATATCAGCATAAACACTGGCAGTTTGATCCAACTCTGTGGGGACTCTTGCTGAGTGCAATCAGGCTAACTGAATAGCATGCCTCCTCTTGTTTCCAACGTTATCATATAATCACCAATTTTTTTTGTATTCGACTTAACGCCAAGGGGAGGTGTGTCATTCAGTTAAGCTGATTGCACTCAGCGGTTCCCCAAAATGTTGAATTGATCCATGTAGACCAATGGTGTCTACGAGAAAGGGGTCATAATGATGCATTTTGGTCCCACTTCCATATTATATTCTGAACATGCTGTGTGACCAGTATTACATATGAACACAGACTCAGACTATAGTCTCTCATCAGCTTCCTGATAGTAGAGTTCTCATTAACTCCTCTAGCTCCTCAATTTCTTGTTTTATCTGAGGCTCGGTTTTAATCTTTTCTTCCTGAAGAGAAAGAAAAAAGAGTAGATATTATTTAGACCAAACAGTATAGCTGTAGGATGTGGTGGTAGCAGAAAACTGCTGTAGGAAATATTTCTGTATTAAAAAAAAAAAAAAAAAAAAAAAAGAGAAAGAAGAAGTTGAAGCTACAGTTTACCAATGTTTGTGCTATGCACATTAATGACAGAACATAAAATCAATGTTCATCATACCCTCGAGAGAAAGTAAGTTACCTGATTGTCCTGTATTGTTTCTCCTTTGGCCTTCTTTGCCTTCAGCTGTTCAATTTGATCCAATTTTTTGTGTAATGTTTTAAGTCTCTTCTCTGCAGGAGTCAGAGTTGAACAAGTCTGGGAGTCACTGGTGCCATCTGTGGCTTTGGTAACAGCTTGCTGATTGGATGGTAAAGGAAGACTGTTGACAATCTTCTGGTATTCATCCTCTGGTATATCTGTCCTGGAATGGCGATTATCACGGTGGCAAAAAGTCAGAGAAATTGCAACTTATGAAGACTCTATTGTACCTCAATGTTTTTCATGATACTACTCCTGGGCTGAGGTCCTTTTCACAACAAGGGAAATATTTTAGCAATACAATTGATAACAGAAAACTGTGAGAGACTGACAACTTAAAACCATGGCCTTTGTGTAAGAAAGTCACCTAAATAAGGCAGCTGCATCCACACCTGACAGGACCAATTAACTACCCTTATTTCTGGAGAAGTTGTAAAAAGTGTAACACACAGTGTGAAAAGGACAATAGTAAAACCTCAGGCCCACATCTACATATCACATCCCTTCAAATCCTCACCTTATCCCTGCTGCCAGGTCACTCAATATCCACAACTGTTCTCTCAATTTTCCAGCCTCCGCATGATCCTACCAGGACATAAAAATATTAGTGTGTCACAAGAATGACAGTGAGATTAAAATTAAAAATAAAACTACGAAAAAACTAAGTATACAGCATATGGAAATCACAGAAAATAGCAACTTATAAAAATATAAAATGCATCCCTTTAAAGGGCTGCAATTAAAAATATTAGCAAGGGAGTAGCAGTTCTTTTAATGATCAGTTTAACTGCTTATTTTTTTTATACTTCAATCTCATTGTTAAGGAGTTGGGGCTGAAAAGTGGATCACTCAATTTGCATTTCAAGCTACCAGTACTGCTGATCACTACTACTGGTACAGGCCCGTAGCCAGGGGGGCTTATTAAAACGAGCTCTTTGTCCGTGTAAAAGTGGGCGTAATGCTTTGTTCTACTACCACCCTTTTTGCTGGGAAAAGGTCCACTCTGGGTAAAATTTGATCTATGTACTTGAGGATTTTATGGTAAAAGGTCCACTTTTTCAGAAAACAAACCCCCCCTCTGAAATTGCTGGCTACGGGCCTGAGGTAATATAAAAGGAAGGCAACATTAAAACTGATCCCGCAGTGTCCAAAACCAAGTCAGCAAAATTATGTAAGTTTGTTATATTCACTGGTCATTTTCTTTCCATTTATTAATTTATTTATCCCCCTCCCTTTTTTTGGGGGGGTGGGGGGGGAGCAAAATTCTTTTACACTATAGTGCATGTAAGACCAGTACATGTATCAGTATGGCAGTACTTGTAAGCTAAAAGATTTTTGGCTAAACTCATTACAGCATACCTTGTTTATCTTTGCTGTTTCTAGCTGTTGTTTAAGCAGAGGTATGAGGTCTGCTGGTGTGACCCCTGGAGACGCGTCTGGAACACCTGACCCCGAGGACCCTAAAGTTTTCTTGTTGTGACGTTTCTTGTTCTTTTTCGCCGATTTGGACTGGGGTGCATCTGTGAATTTTAATTTCAACAAAATACATTTTGATCAATAAGGTAAAGCAAACTAATAAATAAAAAGATAATCAGCCGTCATCATGTAACAAGTGCAGGTATACACGTAAGTTGACAAGAAATTATCATTTAAAACGATCTCTTTGTCCATGTAAAAGTGGGCGTAATGCTTTGTTCTACTACTTCATGCCTCTATTACACGGTGCGTTTCGTGGAACTAGTTCATTCTGATGTTTTCTTTTATATCAACACCTATGAGAACACAAGATAACTTTTTGTTTGATAGTCCTACCTGCCATAATCACTACAACTTGGAAATAACTGCGTTTCGATACTAAACAACAAGATAAGCCAAGCCAATTCTTTTATTCTGTTGGACAATTTACCATCCATATTCTTATACACATAGAAAATAGATATAACGCTGTTAACATATTTATTCTACATAACCTTTGAATACATTAAAATGGTTTTTTAAAAGAAATATTTATCCACCAAAGTTGAGATATTACTGATCACTCTTCGGTTACATCGATACAGTTCTGTTTTCATTATTGCGTTAAAGCTCCGTACCACGTGAAAATGTTTTTGTAAAGCGTTAAATTCCAGGTTTACAGGGAGAATGTGAAACTGAGAAACTGGTAGTGATAGGACAACTGTGAGCTGAACCTGCCCAAAGGTAAAATATTTCCATGACCTTCGATGTACATGAGAAAGCGGTGTTCATTTACGCATCATTATTAATATTTGCTGGATATTTTTTATGTCGATGCTTCAACCTCTGAATCTGAATCTGAATAGGTAAACATCGAATTGCCTGTAAAGGGCAGACTCCTATTATATGTATTTTTTGTATTATTCTCTATTCTCTTAGTCTCATAATATGTATTATTTGTATTGTTCTCCCTTTACTCTGTATGCGTATGATGCGTATCGTTTGATATGAATATATAATGTAGCGGTGTAACCGACACATTTGTTTATTTATGACCTTATTCTCAGTTTTGATATCTCTTGTATATTTTTAGTACAGCAATTATTTGACAAACTTAAATTATAGTACTAATGAATTAAGTATTACAGAATTTACAGACCACAGAAACCAAAAACTTCAAGCATTCCTTGTGTCTCATTGCCATCTATTTGGTTTCAATGTGGGCTTCATTAGATGAAAATTTATTGATTTGTTTTTATTTATTCAATTTTCTTTTAACCATTTGTGTGAACCACTATTACACTTACTTTAATGCTACACCAAGAGAAGTAGACATTTCACACTTTAAATTTTTGTATAATTTTTTTAATTTGTCATTAATTTTTTTATAACTTAGGCTAGATGTAAATCATGGAAGGAACTGTAACAACAGTAGGACTTAATGAGGAACCAGAGTGGTGCGAAGGTTGCCAGGCTCTACGTAGGGTGTGTTGTTTTACTTCTCTCTCTCTCTCTCTCTCTCTCTCTCTCTCTCTCTCTCTCTCTCTCAAAAATTAATTTCTAAAATGATTATATTTTATCTTTATTATTATTTTTATTTCATAAAAATTAATACAAAACATTGTAATCATAGACAAAGACGCCTTTCAAACACCCACACAGTTAAAAAATACAGTTACTGAAAAAAATGATTTTCAAAATTTGACGTCTGTAGACATGTTTTTATGTTGCAGGAATTGACACAGCTACAGAGTGAACATGAGTTGAATTATACCACTTTAAAACAGAAGATAATCTCTACAGAGTAAGTATTAATACATATCAACTGACAATACTTCATCCAGACTGTTTACCTAAGACTCTCTAGCAACACTAATATTAATTTGAAAAGTATGTTTTTATCAAATTTAAGATACAGAACTCCATAAGTGGATAATCTTTCCCCCTAGTGATTGCCCCATACTCTAACATTTTGTAACTATTATTTAGCACTAGTCTCTCTTACTGGTGAACCTTATAAAATTACACTTACTAATCTGAATCAGGATTAACATGATCAAGATAAAATTCATAGACAGTGGGAAAGTTAAATCTAAAATAATTATTTTAGTGTTTAATGTTCCATTACAGCAACCATTTGCACAGTTCATCTCAGATTGTTTATTGACATTATTTCCTTTTCCAGTTTGCTGATCAAGAAGTTCAGTTCCAAGTGTCAAGATATCCTTTTTCTGTTATATTTTATTTGATCTTATTATATACAGCACATAATCTTTTAACACTGGTTGTTAAGAATGTGTAAAGAAAGATATTCTCATTGATAGATATAATAATTATAAATAACCACAAACTTCATAACTTTGTAGTGTTT